AAGGATGGTGCTGGAGAATATTGAAAGCAGCATTGCCTGCCAAGAGAACAAACATATCTGTCTTGGAAGGACAGCCAGAGTCCTCCTCAGAAGCATGGTGAGACTTTATCTTCCTTGCTTAGCAATTGAGTCAGAAGAGACCAGTCTCTATAGAAGGACATCATACTTTGTAAAGTAGGGGCGCCGTGAAAAAGAGGAAGAGCTTTAGCAAGAGTGACATTGTGCCTTCAAAGATAGGCTCAAAAAACAACCATTCTCAGGATGGTGCAGGAGTGAGCAGTGTTTCATTCTGTTTTCAGGAGATCGCTATGATAGGAACAGGCTCAATGGCACCTAAGGACAATAAACTAAACAACTGTATTGGCGCTTCATCCACACGTCACACAAGTCAATAGTTCAATCATATCAAGAAGCATTGAACAATCATTACCACAATCCATTTTAGAATATTGCCTTCTTTCTTGTGTGCATTGTTATTCATGTAATTATCTTTTATTGTGGCCAGAATATACACTAGAAAGCATTCTCCAGTTCAACAATGTCTTCATGCATAATTCAGTGCCATCGATTATACTTTTCATGTTGCACAACTATTATTGATCATCCTTTCCAAATTGTGACTCTCCATCATCATAAACTCAATGCCCTTAAGCAAAAATGCCTCCTCCTTCACCTGTGGTCAACGTTAGTTTCTTTTTTCTCTTCAGTAGTTTATTTGAAATGATATTGACATGTCATACACTTCCACAATTACATTGCTTTTTTTTTAAATCATTTTATTGGGGGCTCATACAACTCTTATCACAATCCATACATACATCAATTGTGTAAAGCACATTTGTACATTCATTGCCCTCATCATTCTCAAAACATTTGCTCTCCATCAAAGCCCCTGGCATCAGCTTATTTTTCCCCTCCCTCCCTGCTTCCCCTCCCTCATGAACACTTGATAATTTATAAATTATCATTTTGTCATATCTTGCCCTGTCCGACATCTGCTTTCACCCACTTTTATGGTGTTCGTCCCCCAGGGAGGATGTTATATGTAGATCCTCATCATTGGTTCCCTCTCTCTACCTCACCCTCACTCCACCCTCCCAGTATCACCACTCTCACCACTGGTCCTGAAGGGATCATCTGTTCTGGATTCCCTGCATTTCCAGTTCCTAGCTGTACCAGTGTACATCCTCTAGCCAGATTTGGAAGTTGGAATTGGGATCATGATAGTGGGTGTGAAGGAAGCCTTTAGGAACTAGAGGAAAGTTGTATGCTTCATAGTTACTACATCGTACCCTGACTGGCTCGTCTCCTCCCCAAGACCCTTATGTAAGGGGATGTCCAGTGGCCTACAAATGGGCTTCGGCTGTCCACTCCACACTCCCCGACTCATTCACAATGATATGATGTTTTTGTTCTGATGATGCCTGATACGTGAATTATATTGCTTTTTAAAAGATTTGTATATAAATCATCACCATCAGTTCGAATGCTCCCTCCACTTCCTCACATTCATTGTTTGGTTCTCAGTTCCCTCCCCCCATTCGCAATAAAGCAATTGTCTCCATGCATCCATCCCTCCTGTGCTTCATGAACTGGGAACCTAACAGAGTATAGTCTGAAATCCCCAAACTGCTTCCTGGAGCTTATGGAAATGGGCACAGGCGAACTAGAAATAAGATGAGTGAAATGACAGCCTGAACTTGAATGTGAGCAATGGATGATCCATTTCACAGTTGATCCCGGGCCTTTTTTAGCTGCAGGTATTGGGCTTCTCTATTCTCTCTCTCTCTCTCTCATTGAATTTAAGGAGAACACTTATTATGTCTCAAAAGTGACAAAGATACAGACACATCATCCAGAAGAGGGAGGCCATTAGCAGGCGGTTAAGATGCCATCAGAGGGTTCACAATTAGGAAGATAGATAAAGAGGGCATGGGAAGGCAAAGGAAACTGTCACCAAAACATGATTGGTACTCAACCACGACATCACAGTGACAGGAGGGATTACAGACAGGAGCATGACTCCAGGGCCTTTCAACCAAGGACCTTGGACTCCTGGCTCAAGAGAATTAGATCCCCACACCTGTCCCCAGTACAGTGACCCCCATCAAGAATGTATCTAGGTCAGTGCCTAAAGGAGAGACTGTCCCTCCCTGGGGTGACCAGAAAGGTGGAGAAGCAATCAACTCTCCCAGGAACGCTGCCCGAGGACAAGATTGTCTCCATCCTAAGTTAGAGATCAGAAAGTCCAGTGGAGACTTCATCTACTCGGGGACCCTGTAAATGGATTTGGCACTGTCACTGCTACCATTTGCCTTTTAAATGAGGTGCTCATGGGTTAATTTCTAATACAATCCCTCCTCTGATCATTAATCATTATTATTAACATTTCTTTGACCATACAGGCTGTTGTGCTTCTTCCATGTGGACTTAGCCAAAACCTCACTGAGATGGCTGATTGTTTTTAGACAGAGCAGAAGGCCCTGGGCACTATCCTTCCTGATAACCGGCACTGTCGGATTTCGTCACCACACTGTGCTCTGCACCCATATCTTCAGTGTTGTCTTCGTGAAGGTTAATACTGAGCAGGTCCACATCCTAAGAACAAATTGTTCTTAGATTAGGGCTAGGATTAAGTGAGAGCTCAAAATCCTTCATCATGTGTGTTTACGTATCTCTACAGTCTACTTCGAGGCAACATTATCAGCCTCTGGATGTATTGTCTATTCCTACAGATGTAGTCCATTTAGTTCCTGTATATTCCACATGGCCAACTACACAAGTATAGTTTCTGCATATGTTGCTGTAAATGGTCTACGAACGGAATTGTGGCAGGGTGGAGGGGTGGAGTCTAGCTTCCTGTCAATCAAGTCACAGCCAATGAGGCCTCAGTGTGGGCATGGCCTTCTCCTGAGGATTCTGGAAACTCCTCTGTCTTCCTCCCTGGAGGTGGGACACACCCTCTCTGCTACACACTCCTGTTGACAAGCCACATGGAGCTACACTGATAGAACCAGAGCCCTGAATTTGGAGGAGCCATGTGGAGACCCACGGAAGTGCTGAGATGCCTCCACCACCACTGGATCTGCAAGACGTTCCATCCACTGGCCTGTGATCTTCCTGCACTCGCATCGCTGCACGTGCTGCGTGAGTCTCCAGAGGAATTTACAAACTGGCATCAGCCATATGGGATAACATCGCACTTATGGGCTTAACCTGGACTGTGCTGGGCTGTTTTCCCATATGAGTCTCCCTGGATTTGTTTCTCTGGTCTACCCAGACGAACACAGGAATACATTCTGGGTCTGAAATTTTCTCTCTGCTTTCTCCAGCTTCATTTTTTGTCACCAAGGCCAAAGTTTCTAACCACTCTCCTTTCCCCTTTGTTTCCAATGTTTGCATACCCGTCACCAGTATATGCGAATGCTTCCTGATGCCCTGGTTACTGGATTTCAGACTGCAGAAGGTGGTAGAGTTCTTCCATTTTCTTCATTAGTAGCTTGACTAGATCTTAGTTGTGCTGTGTTTACTAGAGGGCACTTGTGGGTGTATAGACTTTATCCTAACACAGACATCGTCAGACTCCAAGACTCCAAATGTTCATTTGATTTTACATGTGACTCCCCTACGCTTCAATTGGTCACTGTCAACACAATAGTCCACAGGCCTGTTTGACTCAGATTGGCCAGTACCAGTCCATGTCCGCTCACGGTGTCTACTGTGCAGATCTTTTCTTTTAAATCATTTTATTGGGGACTCATACAACTCTTATCATAATCCATCCTTCCATCCATTGTATGTCAAGCATATTTGTACATTTGTTGCCCTCATCATTCTCAAAACATTTGCTTTGTACTTAAGCCCTTGGTATCAGTTCCTCATTTTCCTCCTCCCTCCGCCCTCCCTGCTGTTGTGTGGATCCTCATTCATTTCTTTTCCTTCTTGGTGATCTGATTTTCCTAGATCCATGCCTCACACGTGCCATGTTCTGAAACTTAGTGGACTTTTTCAGCCCATTCATTGCATTTTGAGTTGTGCCCTGTCAGCAAACAAACATCCTGAAAGCTTTACTCCATCCACTTCATGATGTTCAACTCTGCTTTGAGGAGGCAGCTCTTCCTCTATCTTATTTTGAGGGTTCCTCTCTGGCACGCTCTCTAAGGCAGCGGTTCTCAACCTGTGGGTCTCAACCCCTTAGGGGGTCGAACGACCCTTTTACAGGGGTCGCCCGATTCATAACAGTAGCAAGATTACAGTTATGAAGTAGCAACGAAAATAATTTTATGAATAAGAAAAGAAAATAATTTTATGGGTGGGGGTGGGGGCGTCCACAACAGGAGGCACTGAACTAGAGGGTCGCGGCACGAGGAAGGTGGAGAAGCACTGCACTAAGGGGTCCACTGCTGTCCATCAGGTTCTCAGTGGGGTCATCTGGTCTTCAGAAGTGGACAACTCTTTCCGTCTCTGTGGTCTGTTCTGCCTGGAAGCTCAGCTGACACCTGTCTGTCAGGGGTGACCCCAATGGTATTTGGAATGCCAGTGTCATGCTGCCTGGCACCACAGAAACACACAAGCCACCGCAGTATGACAAACGGACAAGACAAGTGAGGTCCTCAACACTGCCCAGGAAGAGCAGGTGCATGGGAACCACCTTTTGAATGGATCCAGGGTTGAAGGAAGGAAAGAGAGAAGGGACATATAAAGTAATGGACACCTTGAGGACTAACACCCAAGTCTGGCCGGGGGCACTGGGCGCCTAGCCAGACCCCATGACCTTCCTGAGCTCACACTCAGTTGGCCACTTCACTCCGCAGGGAGCTCTCGGCACTGCTGCTCCCTCTCCTGCAGGTCTGCCCTCCGGAATGCAGGCTCCCTGCCCGCAGGCTGCTGATGTTCTCTTTTGCCCAGTCCAGTCCTGGGTCTCCGCCACATGGTAAGCGCAGCAACTCACAGTCCATACGGACTGCATGACTAACTACCCCGTCCCTCATCCCCTGTAGTTTGCCAAGAGAGGTCTGAACATCGTCCTCATCAGTCGGAACATGGACAAGTTGGAAAAGGAGGCAAAGGAGATTGGTGAGACCCATGGGTCAGGGGGCTGGGGCAGCAGTGGGGCTGGGCCAGATGAGGGCTGGAATGGGTCTGGGGTGGAGCCCTGTAGGGACAATGGATGGAGAAACGGGCTGGGTAGGGTCAGGGCTGCAGCAAGCATGGGACCGGACATGAGCGAATGTTCTGATTTGCTCCCTCCCCCTTCCTAGAGCGGCTTCATGGTACGGACACACGTGTCATCCAGGCTGACTTCACCGGGGGCTTGGAGATCTACGGGGCCATTGAGGAAGGGCTGAAGGGCCTGGAAATTGGAGTACTTGGTATGACCTATGACTTGGGTGAGGCGGGGGCAGAGGGGAAACCAGCCCTCAAACCAGCCCCCAAGCTCAGCCAGATCCTGGATCTTCTCCGGGCCACACTTCCTGGACTGCTGGAGTGACCCAAACCATGTGTTTCCCCTGGTTCAGTGAACAACGTGGGCAGGACATACTCTCCGCGCTTGGAGAAACTGCTGGACTGTGAGAACCCAGCCCAGGTGAGTGACACCTGGCCCTGGCTCCCCGGGGCACCTGGTCCTCCAGTTCCTCCCCTCCATTGGAAATCCTGGGCAATGCCCACTCTTTTGTTAGAAGGGGTGCTTTCTACCGTTGCCTGTGGGAAGGTAGCTGTAGAAGCTCCATGTCTATGATGCTGGAGGTGTGACTGAGGGTCCTCTGAGGGGGAAGTGCTTCGGCAGTGCAAAACCCACACCACTGTTCAGTTTGGGCCTGGTTCTGCCATCCCATTTTTATCTTCTTAATTGCAGTGAAAATACTTGTGTACACCACAACACCTTCACCACTTCAACACTTCTAATTCAGTGACGTTGATCACATTCTCGAGTCGTGGGAATCCTTTGCAAATTATCCTATCACTATTCACATCAACTCATTGCCCACTCATGATTCTGCCCTTTTTTATTCCGCTCTATGAATGTAAACATTTATATGAACATGGAGGCATAGTGACACTGTGACATAATCATTGGAAGGCTAATAGGAAGGTCAGTGGTTCAAACCCACCCTCAGCTCCACTGGTGGAAAATGAGGCTGTGTGCTCCTGTAAAGATTCCCAATCTCTGACCTATTGAATTGTATGATATGTGTCTTACACTGCACTAAAACAGTATGTTAAATTTTAATTTTAAAAAAGATTTATTCTATTGCTTAGGGTTTCTATGACTTGGAATAGACTTGTTGGCATGAGTGTGAGTGTGAGCTGACCCAGAGACACTGGCTTGAATTACCTGCAGGGAAGGTCAGTGAGTGCCATTTGGGGCGTGTGGATTTATACCTCTATTTGGAATCATTATTTTCTAGGTAACTCCATTTTCTTTGGCTCAGTGTTTATAAACACTCACATAACTGAAAACAACCACCCTACTGAAACTGAGTCTATGTCAACTCATAGGTAGCCCACAGAGGGTTTCGAAGGCTTCAATTTTACTGGCAACAGACAGCCTCAGCATTCTTCCTCAGAGCAGCTGATGGATTTGAATCACCAACCTTGAGGTTAGCTGCTCAACAATTCCCAATTGCAACACCAGGATGTGCAACACTGCCATCAAAATTAACACCCTTAAGTTTCAAGTATGGGTCTCTTCCTATCCATTGAAAATGAGTGA